TCGCCGTCACCAAAGTCCATTTTGGGAACAGGATAAAGTGCATAACCTTAGTTGATAAATCCAGTAACATTCCACTATCGGTCGGATGGCTAACGTTCTCCCCCCTCTCTCTCTCTATCGGTGCAGAACCTTCTGGATTTTTGTGTGATCCAGTGATTCTCAAACCTGTCTGATCATCACTCCACTGCATACTCACTTTACACGCAATACAAGGGAATTTATGATGATGACCCTCAAGGGGTCACCCCACAGAAAGAACTCTTCTTTCAAGAACACGTAACATCACTCCCCGAAAGACACTACTTGGTGTACGATCCCTCCGAAGAAGAACAGACCTCTCGAATATTTGTTGCTTAGTGCATTCTCAAACCAATCGTTTGTAGGAAAAATTTACCCTTGTAAGTAGGTGAAGTCCTCAAAAAAAGATTTTCATCTATGTCGTACATAACTGCTTCAAATTACATCTCTAAAAACCAGCTCTTAGATGGGACTGGTTATAGATTGATTACAGCAATCTGTCGAACCACGTCGACTTACGCGCAAAACCCCAAAAGCCAAATCTTTCAAATGGAGGTTAATCTACAAATGCGATACTATAAGTGCAATAATAAAATGATAAAGCTTTACAAACCTCAAATCGTGGGACTATGCCGGTTTCTATACACCGGTATAGGAACTGCTGATTCCTAACGGGTCTCAAGGTCCAAGCCGAATCAAAGCCACGTGTTTACAAGCTAGCGAAACCACGTGTGAACTAAAACAACACGTCCGATGACAAGGTCAAATAATGGTTTATGTTCAGGTCAAAAACAAGAAGGGTAGTATAGGCACAAACCAAAATAACAAAAAAGAGGAATAGCGTTGTACAATATAAAAATAGTAGAAAGGAATCAACACTGGTTACCTTTGGTTCCTTGTGAGTTCTTTGAGTGGTAGGGCAAGGGAGAATAAATAATGAATTATACGAACTTTGGAGAGTCCTTGTGTGCAAGGCGACCACAATTGCTTCCCAGAGGAAGATCATTTTTGAAGAGAAGCAATGAAGGTAAGCTCGTGAAGTTTCCACTCCCTTGAAGGACAGCTTCGAATAAATGACCAAAAGCCGTCAGACAGAGTTTTGTCCACACGTAGACGATTAAAACAACATGGCTACGAATTCCGCAGATGGAGATGGCCAAAGCACGGAAAATTAAACTGGACTGATGTTACAATATGCACATCAATCTCATTACCCGTTAAACATTCAATGTAAACGCTCAGACTTAAACAGTCTTGATACTAGAGTTGTCAATCATTGTCCCAAAAGCAGAGAGTGGGAATGACGCTGCACACAAGCTCAGAGAAAAAGAACTTTTCTGGTGCGAGTCTCTATAAAGCATCTGAATTAGTGGCCCACTGAAGGAGCTTCGGTGACTACGTAATGCACTACTAATAAGGTTGCTGAAAATTTGTCGGCAGCCCACGACCGGTTTCGCCCTTCTTGAGGCTTATCAGGTAGGCTTCTGTGACCTTTACCGTTGTGCCGGGTGTGCGAACTGTAAAACTGGTCCTTATTGTAGGTTGTATGTTGCACTCTGAGTGCTGTAAACTGAGGTCACACTCTTAGCTTACCAATCTCGGCATAGCACTGCTGTTGTTGATAAAATTTAAGGTATGTGTTTTATTCTTTTCTCGCCAAAAAAGTGGATCAACTCCTTAATTAAGACCATTCCGGCCAATGTTCTTCGGTCTTTCTTTGGAGAGACTACTTTATGTATTCTCAATATCCTTGCTTGATGATGACCTCCCAGGAGTAGTTAAACTTCCGCACTAATCGGTCAGAAGTTCAGGGTTTTTCTTGAGCGCGTCCACTTGCTCTTTTGTTTTCTGGAAAACCTGGTCGCCTGAGGACGTACAAAATATGCATCCAAACAACTGGGTCAACATTAGTGATAAGATTCCTGGGATAAGAGTATTTCTACTTTGGTCAAAGTCTATTCTGACACACCATGGTGAGTATTGGTGTTAGTGGGATGTGTAAATTTTTCGGTTGGTACTCCGGAACAGCGTCAAGGTTGGTGCGAGATGCACAAGAATCGAGATCTTGACCACACAGTTAGCAAAGGACTTTCAAAGTTTTCATGAAGGAAACTACTCACAAGGTTGCTGAAAACTCCTTAACAGCCCACGACCGGTTTCGCCATTCCAGTTCGGACTCATCAGGTAGACGCAATCCCCGAGTTTCCATCAACCTCATGTTCTACTTGAACCCAGACTGGACTGTTTCCGAGAAGTACACTCGTGTACAAATCAATTTGGTTTTCATGAGAGACTCAGCACATTCAGTTGTAGAATATCACAAACGAGAGATTCAGTTGAGTCTCTCGTGAAAACCAAATTGATTTGCAAAGGAGTGTATTTCTTGAAAACTCTCTAAGTTGTTTTCGTACCCGTATCCACATAACTTTGCTTCAAAGGATGGCTTTGGTTTTCTTCTCACCGTTTTAGAATCCATCATTCTGTGAGTGTTCAGCCTTCTCGTCGAGAAGCTATCGACCACGGAAATCGGTGAAGGTTATCGTAACAGAGTAGCTGAAGAGGGTCATCAACCTCTTACAGTGTATCCCGGTCTTGTGAAAAATTGACTCGCTTGGAAAATGGAGGCCTCAACCGTAATCCGGTTATGTGCGAAGCATTGAATCAAACTTGATCTCATGGTAATTCGCCCATTCGTCTGAATGCTCCTTCCATGTACTTTTGATCTCGATTTGCTTTGCTGATCTGTACTCGCCAATCGCCGTACTCACCGCAGAAGCCATTCCGTCCTGACACATTAGCATGCGTGTTAGTTTGTATGTACGCAGCCGACCAACTTACCCATACGTGTTTGTGCCTGGTTTGCTGTGACTGCCTTGACCTGTTCTCTGATTAGTTCCGTGATATCGTCCACCAATGAGAATCACGAGACTGTCGTCGGAATGGACAACCCAAACTACTGAGGCGGCATTCCGCTCAGCGTTGTTTGGTTGGCGCTGCATTGTGCTGATCAGTGACAGACCTGTGCATTTGTTGACGCTACGTTAACACTACAGTGTGTTGTATTGTGCGGTGACCGAGCTATTGGTTACGCCTGCGCTGAGCCTACCAGACTACGCGATAGGGAGAAGACAAAGAACTGGGGACACGGCTGTATTGCCGGAACAAAACATACAGAGCGTCTGCGTAAATATATAGGCCAAATATATGGCCAAATATGGTCGTTCACTTGTTCGTTCCGTAAAGCCAATGGTGGTGTTCCGGTCGTGACCATTCTCAGGCCCACTACGCTGGTCGTGTGTTGCTGAGCCGTGTTTGGTGAGAGCCACCAACTCACCTACTTTCCGGACGTGTCGTACCGATGGTGGCCTTGGGGATGCGTCAACTCACTGCAATGTACTTTTTCTTCTGTCTGGGCGCGCCCTGACACAGTGGAATTTCGAACCCAATCCGTTCTTTTGATAATCAGAATTGTCGAACCCCCGCGTGTCACTCAAATTTCCACATCGGGAACCTCAGTGCCAAGCGCGTAACCACCTCTTTCATTGTCGATTTCATGAATTGTTTACTACAGATCCCTAGAAGAAAGAATGCGAGTGTACAGATCCGGAGAGCCAAGCGGACGCATTTCAACTTGGAAGAGATGTCCGAGTTCGGAAACTACTTCATTTTACACAGGAATTTGGTTTTGACAGGCGACTCAACTGAATCCAGCTCAATTTCACGTTTACCATGGGTTGTCTACCTTTTCAGAAACCTTATGAGTAGTGTGTTATGTCCAGAAAACAATAGACCCGAGCGGTTCGCAAACATGGGTTTTAGTAAAAAGCCAAGCGTACGATCCTGTGCTAAGGCCATGATCTCAAATCAAGGAATTGGTTAATTAGCCTGAACGCACAATCTAGGTGTCCTATCTGACAGGTAACGTGTGGTCTAATTCAACGACGGACGGTCAGTAATAATTGGGGCCAAACCGAATTCTACAAACTTCACTTCAGTAGTCGCAATTGGGAAGTGAACAGAATAATGAATTAGACGTGGGCAGACAGTATGGATAGATAGATAGGTCGGGGTTCTGTAATGAATTACCAGTAAATGATGGGCAAAATCGAAGGAAGCTTACAGCTAGATTGAACCTTGGGCAGTTAGCAACACAGGAGGCACAGAGGGCACCATGCTATCGGACAAATTAAGTAGCTACCGGCTGCGGCATGCAAAACTTGATGAGTCAACACAGCAATACTTTTATTGTGCCAAGTTACGTTTCGCAGTTATTTTTAATTGAATATTTCTTTTTTAGTAGAGATTTCATCCTGTAAGTGAAGTAAATCTGTGCTGAACAACAGACAGACAGTGTACAGCTGTTTCCTCCTTACTGAGAGTCATCAGCAGTACGCATCTCACGGGACTTCCGAAGGCGTTTCGAACTCGAAACCTTCCGGCTAGTGGATGAACACTCAATGGTTCTGCCACGATCGGCCTATCTCGTTTTTGTCCTTACTAGTAAACTAGTTTTGGCAACACAGTACGCGCCAAAAACGGAGTAGTCCTGCAGGATTACTGCATGCATTTGAAAACGTTCGCTGTTCTACTTGGACTTTATGCTTTGCAAACCGGATGAATAATCCATAAAGAAGGTCCGTGTCTCGGACTGGTGTTGGGACGTACAATACTAATTCTGAAACCGACCAGCATGTATTTCTACTCCACGCCATTCACTGATTCGTCTCGCAAAACGCTCGTCGCAGTAAAATTCTGGTATTCCAGACATTGACGCATTCCACTTCAGGCACCAACGAAACTGTCGAAAAAACAAGTACGGTTTTACCGAATTATTGGTGAGACAATGAGCCTGTGGTTGACATTTTCAGCGACGCATTTCAAGACAAGAAGTCAGACGATTCCTTGCTATGTCGATCAGTGCCAGCGAAAAGTGATTACGAAATGAAGGTCGTGTTAGATAATCAATCTTTCCTGGTCAATAGTACTACACGGCTCTGGGATTCATAATCCGAAATGCATTGGCCTGCCTGAGCGGGAGAGATTCAGCTGGGTTCCAGGTGAGTTTCTCGAAAGAACCAAATTAGTTTGCGAATGGGTGTATATTCGCTAACTTCGTGCAATTTGGTTTCAAGTAGAACATAGGGTTGACGGAAATTCGGGGACCGCGCCTACCTGATGAATCTTAAAAAGGGTGAAACCGGCCGTGGGCTGTCGATGAATTTTCAGCAAACTTACGAGTAGTACATTACAAAAATTCTACTATTAGTTAACTCGTGCGGATGGTAAGGAAGGGCGACAATGAAGGGTAACTACTTGGTGTGAGTGGTTTCAC